GGTCCCTTTCCCCATGTAACGCAGGAGCTCCACAAGCACGGAACTCCCGGAAAGAAAGAATGCAGGCTCCAACGATAGCCATAATCTTAGAACGGAACGCGCCCAAGCGCTCATCCAAGATCTCCGAAATACTGCGAGAAATCTCCGATGAAATGAACGCCCGCATCCGCTCGCTAATCGGCTCAGCACCTGCATCTGAGCCGGAACCCGAACCGAACCAGAGCCAGAACCACCTCCCTGAGTGCTCATCCCCAAACTGAAATACAACATGCCAAATATAAAAAATGCTCAAGAATCCTCCTCCCATAAGCTTCTTAGATTCTCCAAGACTCTCATCGATTCGAGTATGGATCCTGTGCTTTCAGTAGTACATAATTTCCTCAACAATCATCCTGAATCCTCTAAGTCACTTCCTCAAACCAATGCACCAAAGCTCACTAAACCGCTCCACTAAACCCAGTGAAGCATATCCTAGGTTCTCCTAGGTTCCTGGCCTCACCCAACCCTCAGCTGCTGAAGGACTCCCACCAATGTCAACTAGCTTCCTCATGAATATAGTCACATGCAACAGAGATCAAATAATCTTTCGAGTAATAGATTGAACCCTAGAACGGTTGGACTCAAACAAGAATTACGCAATAGGGTCAAATCCATCACTCTAAGATTATTTAACATGTGCCACATGTGAATTAGCATATTCACTTAGCAGTCAATTCACATCACTAAGAGTCCCACAAAGCACTAAGCGAGCAACATTCAGACAACGGAAAAAATCTAACCAACATACATTAACCAAGCCATTCTATCCACTCATCTGGAATCCATACTAGCATGCAATTCTAAAGCTCATATAATCAGGCATAAAAAGGCATCTCTCCTATCATATAATCCTAAGTAGATCCTTAGCCCTAATCTAGCATGCAATTCTCATAATCATAGCATATATCATAATAAACATGTATTGGTATTCTGGGAACCACTTACTTGAGCTCGGTCGATTGCACGCATCACACCCCTTTCTTTGATTAGAATTTTCTTTTTATTAAAATGTTTATTTTATAAAACATTTCACCAAACCCTCAGTTTGAGTCTAGGCACACCCTAGAGTATACCTGAATCCCTCAAACCAAGGCTCTGATACCAACTTGTAACATCCCAAAAATCAAGGGTAAAATTTTTATTTTTATTACAATCAAAACATAAATGTAACTTGATCCAAACATTTAAAAACATTTCTAAATAAAACAGTTATTAGAGTTGAATCCCAAAATCATATATTACGGAAAACACGGGTGTAAACTCTTCTATGGCCGCAAACCCTTCCTAGGATCAAGCCTAGGGCCGTAAACACTTCATGTGTGGCCGTAAACTCTTCTATGGCCGTAAACACTTATAGTGTGGCCGTGAACACCCTTTCATACAATCATATGTGATTGTAACAATTCATTTCAAGTGTTTCCTAGTACCTAAGGTTGTTCCCTTACATGATTAGTTGTTATATACACTAATTGTATACATATATGTGTCATTATATGCTTAATAGGATCCGTTTGTGCTCGAGACTTCACTTGGCATACTTAGCATCCTATATCGATCTTTCATTCGAATCACTCACTATAGGTGAGTTCATACCCCTAAACTTATCTTTTAATGATTTTAAATGCTTTTATGGGGGGGGGGGGGGAATACAAGTAGAAAACAATATAGTTATAGTATCAATCACATGTGATTTATAACTATCAAACAAAAGGATTTCTTAGACTTCAAAACTGTTATCAAAACAAATTGTTTCAAATCATTTTATAAACTGACATCAAGTCATCAATAACCATTCAAATGGTTAAAGCACTTTTTATATGATAAACTCTTTATCGTTTTACAAAACTCTTTTCAACTTATGTATTGTCAAAATCATGTCTATATAGATATAGTTATATAAATAAGGTTGAAAGGGCTTAGGACTGATAACTCGCTTTATTTCTTGTTCCTTGTTTGGTTGTGGACTTAGGGTATCGGTTGTTTGTCTGAGTGTCGTTTAAAGCTTAGTTATATAGTAAGAATATGTATGTAGATATAAAAGTTCTTCCAATCAGTTCAATACCTTTGGGTAGCAAAGGGGTACAAACATGATCAGTCATTCAACTACATAGCTTACTAGTAAACTATAATAGGTATAGTTTAGAGGAATACTACTTACTATTTCTAGAACAATGAAACTTACAAGAGTTAGTTCATACATGATTCAGTTCAAACATACTATAACAAGAACAGAAAGAACATACTATACACTAGAACAGAAGGAACATACTATACACTAGAACAGAAGGAACATATTATACTAATACAAGAACAAGATAACATTAATGTGAGCCACTACTTCATGACATTGGCAATATAATGTTGTGTCACGTTTTGTAACCAGAGTCTCCTGAAGGGAGAGCGTGAGTTTGTGTATAGATCTATATGGGATTGACCATCCTACACCTTGCTGCTAGCTACAATGGGACCTACAGGTCTACGGGTGACGAATGTCATACCATTTCGACGTCTTTTGATCGTTGTGTTTTATACTAGTCAATCAAACATGGTTATAACCTCATCACATTTTACCTTAATTAAACAAATTGGTTTTAAGGTAGTTACTACTTCAGTAGTTACTTTATACAATACTACTGTACATTTTAATTTTCCCATTACATTTATATAGTGATCTTCACACATAAAAGGTAATGTAAACTATTTTCCGGTAATGAAAGTCATATCCTTGGGAAAACATTCATTTTTACAAAAGAATAAACATACAAAACAGTCGGGTCTTGGTAGAAGGCTACTTTCCACTTTAGTAGAAAATATAGGATTTTCTAGGAGGTACACAAACATTTACATAAAACACTTACAGACACTTTCATCAAACTAATGCAAACAATAGACACAAAAATACTTGTGAACTCACCAGCTTAAATGCTGATCTACTCTTTCAAAATAACTTGTATTCTCAGGTCACCCGTAGACAGGTACCGATGACCAGGTTTTAAGAAGACGGAGCATGTTCAAGACTCGTCTTTTAATTTGATTCATATTTTGGTGTCTTTCAAACTTTACACAGAACACACTTGTATTAAATTATATTATTAATGCAATGGATGATGTTGTTGCTTGTTTTACTATTGTGCATTGTTATGATATTATACATGATGTCCTCCTCCCCCGAATGTTTCCGCCATTCTAGTTTGGGGGTGTGACAGATTGGTATCAGAGCTTTGGTTATAGTGAATTGAGTATATCAACCCATAAAAGATATAAAAGTATAAACACACCGGGATTAAAACACTCTGACCAAGAGTTAATACTTTAAAATAATAATATATTTTAGTAAGTATTCATACAAGCATTCATACTAGGATCAGTGTCATACTAGAACAGAACAAAAATATTGTGGTTGTTGGATAGCACAAGTAGGCTTGGGGACATATAATCAGGTCTGGGAGTGATATAGCCTGATCAACTATATCTTTTCGAGAAGTGATTAACATGTGCCTAGGAATGGTTGTGGTGTTGCAGCAAGTCTAAAAACTTACCAACACTACTACAATGAAAATTTTAGAACATAACATCAAACTTAAAATACTATAGGAGTATTTTGTGTTACTATAATTACTTATGTGCAAACTAAAAGGTCTTTACTAGTATGTCAATAGTTGCTGAGTGGATACGCTAAGGTTATATGTGACTAAGGTGTCATAGACTTAGAATCTGTGATCTTTGCTTTACTTCCTGTTCCTTGTTTGGTTGTGGACTTAGAGTTAGGGTCACTTATTCAAAGGTTTATTCTATTTTGGTTACATATGACTGGTATGCACTACGCAAGTATTGAAGTAACTGGTAAGGATCATCTTATAATTATCTATAGTAGTACGTCTATTATATGTTTCTTACATCCCTTTTCACGCTTAGATAACATGGCGAGATTTAATCTCCCCGGCGACCCATACTTTCCCGATAAAGGGCATGGTGGATGGCTTGATGCAGAGCCAGAAGAGAATCATGAAATTCCCTTAGACGATGATTTTGCAGAAAATCTTCCAGAGGATTCTGACTCCGAGCCAGAAGTCAATGATCTACCCATGGTGGCTCCAATCCCAAATCCTAACCCTCGTCCGGATTTTCAAGGCCCGACGCATTTGTGGGTTGAGAACTTGGGTAGGTGGAGCCGTGAGCAGGGTCAACCCTTAACCTACAACGGAGACTGAAGCTTCTACAACCTAAGTGAGGGAGGCTCTGCAGACAAAATTCTTCCCATCTTGGTTCGCCGAGTGGCTCGAAATGTTGAGCTAGGAATGACAACCATTCAACAAACCGTTGGAGCTTGACGTGGACACAAACGCCAATACAGATCATATTCGCAACCTTAAAGTTGCTCATGGGAGAGCTATGAGAGACAATGAGGCTCTGCAGCAAGAGCTAGCTGCAACTCGAGCTGAAGTCATAGAGCTCCGAGCACGGCAGACAGTGTATGAGAGACACCTGCCTGATGTGGAGTGTCAGCTGGCCGAATTAAGGGTTCATCAGAGTGGTGCCCATCGCCAGTAGGAGATGCTCTACTCATCCTTTCTTTTGGTTTAATGAATAGCCTTCTTATCTATGCTCTAAGTAGCACTTTTCCCTGTAAAATTCTTGTTTATGTTAAGACCTTGAACTTTAAGTTAGTTAGGTCTATGTGTTGTCAAAATTTTCTAAATTCTGGTGTGATGTAAGACCTACTCCAAGGTCATTTTTCCCGAACTTATTACGTCTTTAAATACCAGTGATATTGACATACATATAATCTCATGGGAAATCTTTATCCAAATGCTTTCATCCTTCTATTGTTAGATCTCTATTTCAAGCATACTCTCATCTGTTTTGTTGGGCTATGGTGATTTAGTCCATGGACCACTCTCATTGTACTCACATTTGAATGCTTACTATCATCTACATCTTTGTAAACTTTTAGTTGAAAGATGCCTCCACGTCGATCAGCGAGACGTAATCCTCCAATAACTCAAATTCATCCACCACTACCTCCTCCACAATACAATCCAGCAGCTATCCAAGCTGCAGTAGCTGCGGCTGTTACGACAACCCTAGCTCAATTCAACACGACCGGTACTAGAGGGAGTGGAACAGCTGTGCATTCCACTCAAGTTGATCCTCCCGTGCACTCTAGAGAGTGTTCGTATAAGGACTTCACCAACTGCAAACCCAGAGCCTTCAACGACAGTGGTGGGATCATTTCTCTCTCGTAATGGTTTGAAAAGACTGAGTGGATCTTTGAGATCTGCTCATGTCCGGAAGGAAGCAAAGTAAAATTTGTTGCCTGCACCTTCGCAGACAGAGCCTTGACATGGTAGAATAGCCATGTCAAGTCACTAACCCGTATAGTGGCTAATGCAATGGGCTGGGAAGATCTGAAGGAGCTTATGATTGGGGAATACTGCGGGGGGGGGGGAGGTTCAGAAACTTGAACAAGAACTCTATAGCCTAACCATGAAGGGCTCCGACATAGTTGCCTACACCGTCAGGTTCAGTGATCTGGTGGCTCTATGTCCGGGAATGGTCCCCACTGACGGGAAGAAGGTCGAGAGGTATATTTGGGGGTTGGTGCCTCCATTTCAGGGGAATGTCTTAGCTTCAAACCCCACTACCTTCGACAGTGCCAAGCGATTGGCACAGCGGCTCATCGATCATGGAGTCTGCACACCGACAACAACAACCCTTTCCATCCCAGAACCATCCAAAGTCGCTGACAACAAGTGGAAGTTTTGGGACAACAAGAAGAAGAACAACGCGACGCAGAGCTCTGCCAAGAAGCAGCAAGTCGTGGCTATTCATCCCACGATAGCACCTACTGCCACTGCGCCGATGAAGCAGTATACGGGAAGCTTGCCAAAGTGCAACAAGTGCAGCTTCCACCACAATGGACCCTGCCTGGAAATGCAGTGTGTAAACTGCAACAGGAAAGGGCACACTTCCCGTTTCTGCAAATCTCCAGCTAGGCCAATCACCCAAGTCCCCAGCGTTGGTGTAGGCTAGGCTTGCTACAGATGTGGCGAGGTGGGTCACTTCAAGAGGAACTGGCCGAAGGCAGGGAACGCTGGCGGAGTGGGAAGGGTTTAGGCAATAGGCCACGAGGAAGTGGTGGCAGACCCTACAGTGGTCACTGGTACGTTTCTCCTCGATAACTCTTATGCATGCATACTATTTGATAGTGGAGCGGAGAGGAGTTTCGTGAACCAAAAATTTGCACACTTACTTAAACAACAATCACACGCACTGAAAGAACCGTTCACTGTAGAAATGGCTAACGGAAAAACTGAGAGCACTAGCTGTATATACATAGGATGTACACTAACTCTAGATAGCCATTATTTTCCAATCGACCTCATGCCTGTCTCAATTAAAAGTTTCGACGTCATTATCGGCATGGATTGGTTGATTCTTCATCGTGCTGACATCATGTGTTATGAGAAGGCCGTTCGTCTTAATCTACCGTCTAACGAAACTCTAGTTATCTATGGCGACAAACCCGACACGAACCTTCGTATCATCTCGAGTATACAAGCCCAGAAGTACTTACGAAAGGAATGTCACGCATTCCTCGCTCATGTAGTCGATATGAGCCAAGAAACGACAGACATAAAGAACATCCCAGAAGTACACGACTTTCCCGACATCTTTCCAGAAGAACTACCAGGATTACCTCCACAACGTCAAGTCGAGTTCAGAATCGACTTAGTTCCAGGGGCTACCCCAGTAGCCAAATCGCCTTATCGTCTAGCACCAACTGAGATGCAGGAGCTATCCGGTCAACTGAACGAACTGCTCAGCAAGGGATTTATTAGACCAAGCTTCTCACCCTGGGGAGCACCGGTCTTGTTCGTGAAGAAGAAAGACGGATCGTTCCGTATGTGCATCGACTACCGAGAACTAAACAAACTGACCGTCAAGAACCGATACCCTCTACCTCGCATAGACGACTTGTTCGACCAACTGCAAGGGGCGAATTACTTTTCAAAGATTGATCTGAGATCCGGGTATCACCAGTTACGAGTGTTAGAGGAAGATGTTCCCAAGACTGCCTTCCGAACTCGTTATGGACACTACGAGTTTGTAGTGATGCCATTCGGATTAACCAATGCGCCCGCAGTGTTCATGGACTTAATGAATCGGGTGTGCCGTCCTTACTTAGATCAATTCGTCATTGTATTCATCGACGACATTCTTATCTATACTCGTAGTAAGGAGGATCATAGTCAACATTTACACCAGGTATTAGAAACCCTACGAGCAGAGAAGCTTTATGCGAAGTTCTCTTAGTGCGAATTTTGGATTCGAAGAGTCGAATTCTTGGGTCACGTGGTTAGCGAAGAGGGAATTCACGTGGACCCTTCCAAAATAAAGGCCATTGAGAACTGGTCAGCTCCGAAGACGCCTACAGAAATTCGTCAATTTCTAGGCCTCGCTAGCTACTATCGCAGTTTTATTCAGATCTTCTCTAGGATCGCGAAACCGCTTACTACATTGACCTAAAAGGGTGTGACCTTTGATTGGGAAGCGAAACAAGAAAAGGCATTCCAAATGCTGAAACGAGCCTTATGCAGCGCACCGATACTATCCCTCCCAGAAGGGATAGAAGACTTCGTGGTTTATTGCGATGCATCCAACCAAGGGCTTGGCTGTGTTCTTATGCAACGAGGAAAGGTCATCGCCTATGCCTCAAGACAGCGAAAGACACACGAAGTCAACTACACCACACATGATCTTGAGTTAGGAGCAGTGGTATTTGCTCTGAAGATCTGGAGACACTACCTGTATGGTACAAAAAGCACTATCTTTACAGACCACAAAAGCCTTCAACATATATTCGACCAGAAGGAGCTCAATGTGAGACAGCCACGGTGGGTCGAGCTAATCAATGACTACGAATGCGAAATTCGTTATCATCCCGGCAAAGCCAACGTAGTAGCTGACGCCCTAAGTCGGAAAGAATACTCTGGTCGTAGAGTCAAATCATTGACTATGACTATCCATTCACATCTGTCCACACAAATTAAGGAGGCCCAGCTAGAAGCCTTGAAGCCTGAAAATGTGGCGGGTGAATCCCTTAGAGGGATGGATAAGAACTTAGAAGTCAAGGGTGGCGGAGCCTTGTATCTCATGGATCGGATCTGGACACCGAGGCACGGTGGTTTCAGAGACTTGGTCATGACCGAAGCGCACAATACTCGATATTCCGTCCACCCAGGTTCAGATAAGATGTATCTGGATCTCAAAAAGTTATACTAGTGGCCTAACATGAAAGCAGAGATTGCTACCTTCGTGAGCAAGTGTGTTACTTGGGCCAAGGTTAAGGTCGAATACTAGAAACCCTCAGGTTTACTACAGCAACCGAAGATACCTGAATAGAAGTGGGATCGGATCACAATGGACTTGATAACCAAGTTGCCCAAGACAACGGGTGGTCTCGATACCATTTGGGTGATCGTAGACAGGTTAACCAAGTCCGCACACTTCCTGCCTATCAAGGAAACTGAAAAGATGGAGAAACTAAAAAGAACCTACATTAGGGAGATTGTACGACTACATGGTGTTCCCATATCCATTATCTCCGATAGAGATAGTAGATTCACTTCAAGATTCTGGCAGTCGCTACAAAGTTCCCTAGGAACTAGGCTGGACATGAGTACAGCCTACCATCCGCAAACCGATGGACAAAGTGAGAGGACTATTCAAAGTCTGTAAGATATGTTGCGAGCCTGTGTGATAGACTTTGGAAAGGCATGGGATACTCATTTACCCCTTGTCGAGTTCTCCTACAATAACAATTATCACACGAGCATAAAGGCAGCTCCATTTGAAGCCCTCTATGGCCGGAAGTGCAGATCCCCTCTGTGTTGGGCTGAAGTGGGTGATACACAGTTAGCTAAAGGAGGAGTTCTTGACAGCACTCTCACAGGTCCAGAAATCATTCAGGAAACGACATAGTAGATTGTTCAGATCCGTGAACGATTGAAAGCCTCAAGAGACTGATAGAAAAGCTACGCAGAAAAGAGAAGGAAACCTTTGGAATTCCAGGTTGGTGACCATGTTCTATTGAAGGTCTCACCCTGGAAAGGCTTGATACGCTTCGGAAAGCGTGGGAAGCTAAATCCAAGGTACATAGGGCCTTTTAAGATCATCGCTAGGATCGGCCCTGTAGCCTACAAACTCAAACTACGTCAAGAACTTAGTAACGTACACCCTACTTTCCATGTTTCGAACCTGAAAAAGTGTCTATCCAATGAGACTCTTGTTATCCCACTCGATGAAATCGAGATCAATGAGAGCCTCAACTTCGTGGAAGAACCAGTAGAGATCATGGACCGTGAGGTCAAGCAAACGAAGCAAAGCCGTATCCCGATAGTGAAGGTTCGCTGGAATGCCAAGTGGGGACCTGAATTCACTTGGGAGCGCGAGGATCAAATATAACTTAAATATCCTCATCTTTTTCCTTATTCTATCTGTATTTGCTTAAACTCTAATTTCGGGACGAAATTTCCTTTAACGGGGGGATGATGTGACAACCCGAAATTTCTATCTTGTAAAGCCAATCAATTCAATCAAAAGTCAGACTTGTTTCTGTTAACTTTTAGCTTTGTTAAGGGTCTGTTTGAGAGTTCTAATCCTACTACACTCAAGGATTGTGTGTTAGGAAGTATAAACTTGAGATCATTTAGTTGCAATGGAGCCGGAAACACCTTCAGAAGGAGTTCACGGCCGCAAACTAGGGTTCACGGCCGTGAACCCATGTTGACCGTGAACCCCTCTTCATAAGTATGGTGTTCCTTCATTATTTCTTCATTTCTCACATCTTCAAGTCAAGAATTCTCTTTTCTCTCTCAAGTATCATCAAGGATATCCTCCTTGATCTTCAAAAGTGTAAGTGATTCTTCCATATTTACTAGATATCCTTCTTATTCAAATGAAACCCTTTGATTTCATCCATGAATTCAACTCTTTTGGGTTTAGATCTTCAAATCACCATCTTTTCACCAAGAACACCAAGAACACACACCTGTTCTTGGGTCGTGAACACCTTAAAGACTTACATTAAGTAAGTATCCTTTCCATACACTTGTTATCCATTAGAAGCTCTTGAATTCCCTCGAAACAAACACCTATTAAGCATGATTCTTCAAGAGTTCACGGCCGTGAACCCTTCATTGCGCCGTGAACCCTTCATAAGATCATGGTGGCCGTGAACCCT